GCTGCAGGCCTGCTGGGCCACCGCGCAGGACGATGTGGCAGCCTCGAGGGCCATCGCCTTCCAAGGTGAGTGGACTTGCCGCGTCTGGGACTCTGGCCTCGGCTGCCGGGCGAGGCCGGCCTGGACCAGACGTATCAGCTGTGATGCCCCAGTAGGACCCCAGCCCCTTCGCTCGCTGCCCGAGCGCTCAGATGCCGCGCGGCTGGCGACGGACCCCCGACAGGAGGAGGCTGAGCCTCAGCCAGGGCTCAGCCCGCAAGCTCCCTGAGCGCCTGTCCCCGGCGGGTGCTGCCCCCTCTCTGCCTCTCAGCTCCTTTTGATTCCTTGCTGGTGGTCAGTCAAGAAACACGGTCACCTGTCCCCCCCCCCCCCCCTTCTGAAGGTCATGCCCCTGGTAGTTTTAAATTCAACTTGGAAACGCCGTAAGAAAACGGCCTCAGCTGTGGTGAAGGGCGGACTCCTCGCCCTCCCGGGAGGGTGGGAGTCTGAGTTGCCGCAGGGGTGCTGGCCGGGGAGGCGGCTGGTGGAGGACGCACCTGGGGAAGGTGGGCACAGGGCGTGAGCTGCAGGCCCCCTCCTCCCGCTCCCGGCCCAGACTGCCCCGTGGACCTGTTTTTCGTGCTGGACACCTCCGAGAGCGTGGCCTTGAGGCTGAAGCCCTACGGGGCTCTGGTGGACAAGGTCAAGGCCTTCACCAAGCGCTTCATCGATAACCTGAAGGACAGGTAGGACCTCCGTCCTCTCGGGGACGTCGGCCTGGTGTCGCCCCTGCCGTGGCCCAGCAGAGGCAGAGCTGAACCTCAACCTGCCCGGCTGAGTCCGCATCTGAGAAGGGTGGTGTCGGCCGGGCCGCTCGAGTCCCCTCCCCGAGTCTGAGTGGTTCGGACGGGCCAGGAAAAAGCTGAATTTGAGATGGAGCAGGCTGGTCGGCCGGGAGGGCGGAGGGGGCAGTGCTGCTGCCTGGGCTCCGGGCCCCAAACCCCGAGAGGAAACAGCTCCCCACCTCTACAACTGAGCGGGCGTGGGCAGCTGACCGAGGCCCTGTGGGTCCGCCCGGTGTCTGGAGGGGGTACTCCCCGCCAGCCACCTGGGCACTGACCACTGCCTAAGGGGACGGTCAGAGCCCACACCCCGGGCCCGAGGTCCCAGTGTCCCCCGTGTCCAGAGTCCTGGTCGGAGGGGCCATCAGCCCAGTCCTGGGTTTGTCGGCATCACGCTCCATCCATCCGTGCCTCCACTCACTCACGGGGAAGCCCCGGGCAGTGGGTGTGGCCGAGCACAGGACATGCCTGCAGAGGGGTGGGTCAGGGCCACTGGGTGGGGGGTGGGGGCTCAGCTCAGACTAGGCTCCTCCCCCTCCCTCACCTGCACAGGCCCCACCCCTCCTCCCACCCTGTCCCTGCTGACCCACTCACCCACTGAGCAGCTGACCCAGGCACCAAGCCTCCCACGCACCAGAAGGGGCCGCACGGACAGAGGACAGGTCTGCCCAATGCAGGGACTGTGGGGCTGAAGCCCCAGGCCTCCCGCAATGCCTGGGTTTATGAGGCCCAGGGAGGGCCCTGGTGTGGATGTGCCTCGGGGAGGGGGCGCCAGGGCAGCCCTGCAGCCCATCGTCCCGCTCCAGGGGGCTCTGGCCCTGCGCCTCAGTTCTCCCGCCTGTGAACTGGGGGCTCTTCCCGCTGTCGGCGTTGGTTCTCCGCAGGGGCATCCGTCACCCTTCTGCTGATGGGCTGCGGGCCTGGCCACCCCCAGAGGCCATCGACTGAGGTGCCCAGGGCAGAGAGAGGAGGCCACTCAGATCCAGGGGTCCCCACCAGTGTCCCTCCCCTGCCTACTGTCAGCGGCCCCACTGCTGTCCATGGAAGGTCTGCCCCCGACCCCATGGCCCTGGAGCAGGGTCTCAGCACACAGCTCCTCGTCTGAGGCCCTGGAGAGCCGGAGACATGGTGGTCACTAGCTGGCCGCCCCCGCCCCCGCCCCGTGTGGCCCCCGGCGCCGGCACCCAGGGTCTTAGGGCCGCTCGGGAAGCCCAGGCCAGGGCCCGCAGGCTCCCCCCTCTCGGGGCGAGACGGGACCAGCCATCTGTCCACCTGTGACATGGTGGCCGTCCTACCTTCGGATGGATACAGCAGGGGAGCGGGCCTGGGTCTGGGGAGGGCCGCTCACCTCCACGGGGCCCGCAGGTACTACCGCTGTGACCGCAACCTGGTGTGGAACGCGGGCGCGCTGCACTACAGCGACGAGGTGGAGATCATCCGCGGGCTCACGCGCATGCCCGGCGGGCGTGACGCGCTCAAGAGCAGCGTGGACGCGGTCAAGTACTTTGGCAAAGGCACCTACACGGACTGTGCCATCAAGAAGGGGCTGGAGGAGCTGCTCGTGGGGTGAGCGCCCGTGCCCACCCAGCTCCCGGCTGCGGCCCCGCGGCCCTCAGAGTCTGCCACACCTCCCTGATCGCAGCTTGGTCGGCCAAACTCCAGGGCTGCCCGCTGGCAGGCCAGGCTCTGCTGCCCAAGGTCCCCAGGACCAGTCCCAGTGGCCGAGGGGGTCGTGCTGCTGACCACCGCCCAGCCTGCCCGATGGCTGCCAAGGTCGCTCTCCATCCCTCTGTCCTTCCCTCCAGCGGCCCACTGTCATCTCAACCGCTGAAGGCAGAGGAGGCCTGAAATGAGATCCCATAGAGCTTTATTTCCTGTTTAATGTCCTTTCCTATAATCCCACTTGTGGCCGGATCAACACAGAGAAACAGGAAATGTTGCCTCGGGTCTGGGTCTCCCTCCAGGGTTTCTAGCCCCCTGACCCTTACCTCCAGTCTAGGGGTCTCAGCTCTGCAGTTCCAGTGGGGCCCTGAGCTGTCAGGGTCAGTGCTGGCCTGAGGGGGCCAGGCTGGGTGGTCTCACCTCTCCCACCCACTGCAGGGGCTCCCACCTGAAGGAAAACAAGTACCTGATCGTGGTGACTGATGGCCACCCCCTGGAGGGCTACAAGGAGCCGTGCGGGGGCCTGGAAGACGCCGTGAACGAGGCCAAGCACCTGGGCGTCAGAGTCTTCTCTGTGGCCATCACGCCCGACCACCTGGTAAGACCCCTGCCTACTTGGGCGGGGGGTGGGAGGGCACGGGTACAGGCACAGCCTGAGGGACGGGGGGCTCCAGGGGAGCAGCGGTGGGGAGGGGCCCGGCGCTCCCACTGTCACCAACGTTCGCCCTTGTTCTGGTCGCATCCCCGCCAGGAGCCGCGTCTGAGCATCATTGCCACGGACCACACGTACCGGCGTAACTTCACGGCGGCCGACTGGGGGCAGAGCCGTGACGCAGAGGCAGTCATCAGCCAGACCATCGTCACCATCACGGACATGATCGTGAGCATGGCCCTGCCCTCCCCACCGTGTCCAAGACGCTGGAGATCCCGTGCCTGGGAATGAAAATTAATTTGACTTTTCTCATTCACTTTTCAGAAAAATAACGTGGAGCAAGTGGTAAGGCCCCCCCCCCCCCCCCGCCCCGCACCATAGCATCACCGGCGCCCGTTTGTCCGGCAGCAGGCTGAGCGCGGGCGGCCGGTGTGGCTGTGCCCGGGCTCTCTGACGTGTCCCCTGTCCCTTCTTCCACAGTGCTGCTCCTTCGAGTGCCAGGTGAGTGTGCCACCCCCGCCCCGGGCCACCCCGGCTCTGCCACCTCGTGCTCACCGTTCTCTTGTGTCTTGCAGCCCGCCAGAGGACCTCCCGGGCTGCGGGGCGACCCCGGGTATGAGGTGAGTGGCCGCGTCCTGTCCGTGCTTTCCTCCTTGGGGTGGGGGGAAGCCTGGGAGAAATGTCCCTGCAGCCTGGCACCCAGGTGTTAAGGATGCGCTGGACCCCAGGCAGCCGCCCTGAGCGCTCACCGCCCGCCTGCTGTGCTGAGCAGGTGCCCCAGCGTGGGAGAGAGTCCAGGTGCCGTGACCCCACGCCGATGCGGCAGCCACGGGCTGCCGTGGGGTGGGGCCCGCCGCTCCGACCTCTTCCCCGTGGGGGAGGGAGAGGCCTTTCTGGAGTGACCACCCCTGTGGCTTCGCTGCTGGAGGCGGGCCCTCCGTGGGACGGGCGAACATGGGCCCAAGGCCGCGACTGCTTTGTGCGGAGGTTTTGGAGAACAAAATTAGTTCTCAGTATTCACAACCTGGGAGCTTGCTTGTGAAAGTCCGCATTTCTGGCTTTTCCTAGAAAGTGTCAGGTGCAGTAGCCATGGAGCCACACGGCTACCTCCCCCGGGGGGCTTCTGCACCGCACCCACCCCGCCCGCCCCAGCAGCAAGAACGGGCGGAGAGAGAAGATTCAGGGGTTGCTCCAGCCGGCGCCGGGCAGCCCCAGGGCCCGGTGGGGTGTGTGGGAGGGGGCCGTGGACCTGACCACGCAGGTCCCAGGATGGGCCACGAGAAAGGTGCCTGAAAATCACGTGAACACTAGGGACCGGATGAAATAGCTTTTTGGACCTTTTTTGTCCGCAAGTAGAGGGTCCTTCTCACCAGCTTTTTAGAAATAAAGGGAATTTGTCCCCTAACCTTGATCTGCTCTGTATTCCAGGGAGAAAGAGGGAAGCCAGGACTCCCGGGAGAGAAAGGAGACGCTGGAGACCCCGTGAGTGCCGAGCCCCTGACCAGAGGGATGGGGGCGCTGAGGAGCCCGAGCCCAGGGAACTGGGCTGCGGAAACTTCCAGAAGGATGGCTGGCTTCTGAGCACCATCGCCATGTGGCCTGACCCTCAGAGGATATGGCCCTCGTGGGTGGCGAGGACCAGGGCGCACACGGCATAGCCATCCTTCCAGCACCCCCTGCCCAGGAAGACTCCCCATGCCCCTCAGGCGCCCCCACAGGCCCACCTGCTCTCAGAAGACAGGGGCAGGGGGAAGCCAGCAAAGTCCCAGGGCCTCTGCTTCAGCCACGGCCAGTCTCCCCCGTCCCCGTGGCCCCGTGGGGGGCTCTGGAGCTCCGCTGAGAGGCCCCAGGAGGAGGGTGGTGAGGCCTTCATAGCAGGGCGCTTCTCAGACGCAGGTCAGTGGTCAGCCAGCCAGGTCTCTGCAGCTGACCGGGCCTGAGCAGGGTGGAGAGCAAGCGGGTTGGATGGGGGCTGCCCCTGCCCCTGCCCCCAGGGGTGTCTAGCGCACCCCTTCCTCTGTTGCAGGGAAGGCCTGGGGACCTCGGACCCGTCGGCTACCAGGGCATGAAGGTGCGTCTCCCCCTTCTCTACCACAGCCTTTCCTGGGGCCTCAGGGCATCGGGCCTGGGGCGCCCCTCACAGCCCCCTCCCCCCTGTTTGCTGTCTAGGGAGAAAAAGGGAGCCGAGGGGAGAAGGTAAGAGACGTGAGACTCGGGGCGTCCCTTGGGGCACAGAGCAGCCCCCACTCTGGACAGGGACGACGCTGCCTGTTCCCGGCGTGGCTGGGCTGCGATGAGCTGGGTGGTGGGGAGGCGCCGTCCTTGGGGCCCTCGCCCCACGATGGGGAGACCAAACCCCTCACCCTTCCTTCCTGTCTCCTCAGGGCTCCAGGGGATCCAAGGGCTACAAGGTGAGTGTGGCCGGAGGGCATGGCCGGTGGGGACACTTCCCCGTGGGGTGCGGTCTGACCTTGGTCTGACCTTCTTTGGTTTTTGCACTTTGCAGGGCGAGAAGGGGAAGCGCGGCGTGGACGGCGTGGATGGCATGAAGGTCACCCTCAGCTGGGGGAGGGCTGGAAGCGGGGCCCGTGTTTCAGGAAGGGACGGTGGGCAAGGCTGGCCACCCCAGGGCAGGTGGGTGGGTAGGGATCTCATGTGTGGCCACCCCTGGGCAACTCTGAGGCAGCATGAAAGGCAGGAGACGTTTCCTGCCAAGCCCCAGGTCCCAGTGGACCCCAAGCCACCTGGCCAAGCTCAGAGCTCCTTCTGCCGGGTGGGGCTTTCTTGGGAAGCGGGTGGATGAGCCAGAGCTGAAGGGCTTGACCACCGAACCCGCCTTCCTCCTTGCAGGGGGAGACGGGGTACCCTGGCCTGCCAGGCTGCAAGGGCTCGCCCGGATTCAATGTAAGTTGCTTTCTCTCACCGGCATTTTAAGACTAAGTCCTCAAGAGTGAAAGTTGCCTCAGCCCTCCTGCTGACACACTAAGAAGTCGCACGGGCCACGCCACGTGCTGACCCGCCCTTCTGGCTCGTCACTCACGTGTGTGCGGCCCGGTGGCTGCGGTTTCAGAATGTGGTCTGACTGCGTCCTCTCCCCAGGGCGTCCAAGGACCCCTTGGGCCCAAGGGCGACGCGGGTGCCTTCGGACTGAAAGGAGAGAAGGTCAGTGACTCGAGCCCGCGGCGGGCCAGGCTGGGGCTCTACGACCCACCAGGCGTTGAGCAGAAATTCCTCCTGGAAGCCGGTTCTCGCCCCTAGTCTGGGGGCCAGGCCCCACCGCCCACGGGGGATGAGGCCTCGCCGCTGCCCTTCCTGGGGCCGTCAGGGCTGGGGTGGGGGGCCCTCCGCCCCGGGAAGTGCTGGTCCCTGAGCCTCGGGCACGTCCTGTCTCCACCACACCAGCCGCCCCTGCTCGTCCGTCCGCGGCCTCTCTGGTCACCTCAGGACCATCCACGTAGCCTGCAGCCCGCGGGTCAGCCCAGAATCGATCTGCTCACGGGAGATCTAAACTCAAGAATAAACAGGGTGACGCTGATGCTGCAGCAGGCGGAGCAGTGAGGCGTGAGGGCTTCACGTTTTGAGTCTGATTCAAATCTGTTGCTGGGATTTTTTTCCCAGCAGCAGGAAGCGCTGGGAAAGTTGGAGCAGTAACACGAACTCCGCCCCAAACGCGTCCTAGCAACGCACATGTCCTGGAGTGTGGGCCGAGGTCCCCAGCCTGGCGACAGTGGGCCTCCACTCATGAGGGCCGGGCTGGCCCCTGTGGTGGCAGCATTTGAACCCAGGAGGCGGGTTTTGTGCAGAGATCTGGGTGTCTGGGGAGGGTCCTCTGTGTCCGAGGTTCCTGCAGTCAGTCAGGGACGGCCGCCTGAAGCAGGGCCAGCGTGGGGGTCACTGGCCCCCAGGACGGCTGGGCGTGGCCTCCTGAGGGCTGACCCTTGCATCTTTCCAGGGTGAGCCTGGAGCAGACGGGGAGCCTGGGAGGCCAGGGAACACGGGGCCCCCCGGAGACGAGGTGAGCATGCACACAGCCCCCCGATACAGCGGGGTGGGCCCCGGCCCTGGGAGGGGCCGCAGGGTCAAGGACAGACAGTCTTCACTGTTGTCCCCAGGGTGAGCCCGGAGAGCCTGGTCCCCTGGGAGAGAAGGGAGAAGCCGGCGACGAGGTAGGAGCCCCTCCTCCTGATGCCCGAACCTCAAGCAGAGTTCCCAATGCAAACTAACACTCGTGTTCATTCCTGTTAATCCCAGGGAAACGCGGGACCAGATGGACCCCCCGGAGAGAGGGTGAGTGGAGGTGCCCTGGGCCTCACCACTTAGGGGCAGACGTGGACGGTGTGACCAGCCCTATGGTCCCAGGTGGACAGACCCCGGAGAGTGTGCTGGAGCCAGTGGGACCCCAGTCTCTGAAGGACGGGGCATGAAATGGAGGGACTGCAAGTCCTGGTATCTGCTGGGGCGCCAGGCCCTGTGCCCAGGCCTCGAGCCCCCAGCCTGCACCGTCAGGGCTGCAGCCTCACCACCCTCTGCTGCCTCCACACAGGGCGGCCCTGGAGAAAGAGGACCACGGGGGACCCCAGGCGCGCGGGGCCCGAGAGGAGACCTGGTGAGTCACAGTTCCTAAAGCTGGGACCCCATCCCCTGGGGGCAGAGACCAGGGCCAGGCCGGGGTCAGGCCATCAGAATCACAGGAAACGCCACCGAGGCCCTCTGGCCCCTAGATATGGGCGACCCACGCCCTCGCCTCCTATTTCCCAAATATACCGCCCGACACACGCTTCTTGTGCGGGAAATGCAGCAGCTCCTGCCCTCGGGCCCCGCCCAGACCTCCAAGCTGTGAGACCCCGGGTCCCCTCCAGGGTCTGGGAGGCAAAGTGAGCTGGGCGCGGCTTCTCCACTCGCCACGATTGGCCAGGGAGCAGCCACCTGAAAAATCACCCGGGCACACGGTGTAAGCACGTTCCCTGCAGCGTGGCCCCCCCTTCGCGCCGGCTGGCCGTGTCTGGCTCCACGGCGTTTCCCCGAAGCTTGGCCTTTATTGAGCTGCCCGACTTCACACCTTCGCAGCTGACTCAGCGAGCCCCTCCCGCCGCACGTCTGGGCTCTTCCCCCCAGAGCTCCTAAACGTTTTGCAGACGGAGCCTGCATTCTTCCGGGGACCGTTTCCCTTTGTTAAAACTTCAAG